CTATTTGCGAGTGTGCATGCGACTGTTTGTCTGCACTGCTGTCCATGTGCTGAATATGCATGAAACAGACGGGGTCACTGGTCAGTCGATCGGTATTGTCAAGTGCTTATTCCTGTGTTACGTGCATCCATTGCCACGTCAGTTGTTTCTGTTGTGTCCTTCAAACACTCAGACTTTGTATAAAGCGTTTTAGCTCATTTGGCTAAAGGACCAATGCACTTATGCAATTGTGAGGCATCCGTCATCTGTCTGTTCCTGTTTGTGAGCCTCTTTGACATCTCGTTGGCTTTTCATTAGTCATTAGTTTGTGCAGATGCAGTCAAGCAGTGACAACAAAACTTAGACAAGCAACTACACCCTGGTTAATCTGACTGAGATCTTGGAGAGTGTGAATAATCTGGTGTGTGTGGCATTGATGTACTAACACTATACTTACCAAAGTAACAGCTGTCTGTATTTTTCACTTTAATAACCCCTCAGCAGATGATGCTAATGTCTTCCTGTGACAGCAGCAGAGTTATCAAATCTTTCAAATGTTGTTACACTGTGTGTGTTTCTCTTTCCTAAATAAAATGTCTTGCTGTTATTAAAATTCTTTGTCCTTATTGTTTGTGTGCGCGTGGGAGGTAAAGCTGCCAACACTTCAGTACAAGAGGATGCGTTTACTTACGTAAAGTATAAAAATGCATATGTGAACAGATCAACCTCGCTTATGTTATAACACCAGTCCACGTCTGTGCTCTTGTTTATCTGCTGCAAGCCAGGCCTGACCCATTTCTGTCGCTCTACTGGTTACATGATGATTACATTAGTTTTACTGGGATTGCCACTATCAGTGTACATCACTATCAGTTTTAGTGCATTACAGTGTTTAAAATGACATAAAATGGTTGGTATTGATAATCTATCAGAAAGCATATACAGTCATGTACCAGAAAAGATAGATTATTAAAGGGGAGGATGAAACCAAACGTTGCAGCTTGGTCTTATGGACCCTGCCAACAGCTGTACTGTAAGTGTCATACAATATATCCATGTGATGGTTTGTGTGTGAACTAAAAACTTGTGTATCAGTTTCTTGTTGGTACTCTGCTAACACATGCAAACCTATTTGTGTCATCATCTAAAAAAATGTTATGTGTATCGTCTAGAGATTCACTCACTGCAATTTTTGATTCCAGGTTGTTTTTGTTTGTT